ACATATAGTTGTCAGGTTTCATCAATAAATGTTTTCCTTCCCCACATTCCCCAACTGCTATTTTAGTAGAAAGTTACAAGCAAACCATATGTTAAATCAAACATGTTTCCTATCAAAGTTTTTCAATTACAGTCTTCCTAACAGTTGTTTACAAGATGACTCTTCCTCAATTTTTCAATATTCGTCCTATGTCAATCAACTACTATAGAAATACCTTATCTTTCTCATATCTGCATTTAGGCACCCGATTTGAAATTTCTTCTTCAAACACTAAAATCGTTGTTTCGTTAAGCCAGGTAACCCTCTTATATATGTTGAAATCTTCTTCCATATTTAACATCATTTGATTTCTGCACAACTTTCGTATGTTTGGTTCTTTGCATCTTCATTTATTAACACTAACGATATACAAATTTTATTTACTCAACTAATAAGTTTCATATTTTACATTTACCTTTTTTTATTTATGTTTCTGAAACCCTAATATTTTCATTTGTACTACTAGCTTAGATATGCATTATCACCATATTTTCCTTTAAACTCATAATGCCTTAATTTTACCTTAATCATTTGATTGTGTTTTTTTTTTTCAAATTTAAAATTTATTTGATGATTCATATATTTAAACTCATTTTTTTTCTCTTTCATTTTCTTATTCAAATTTAGAAAAGATCGTGGAGGAAAATTTGGATGTGGAGCCAATAACGAATCTAAAGTATCATATCTTTAAGCTCAGATAATTTTCATATCTAGATATTCAAATATATTGTGGATAAAATGTATGTTTTCAGTTCCACCAACATTTTCTTAGATATTGCTTTGGGTAACTAAGTTTTTATTACGGTTTGTTGGCTCATCAATTATTCATATTTTAAAGGACTAACATATAACGTTCTTTTTAGATAATTGACCGAAGTAAAACATTAATTAAGTTAAAGGACTAAAACATGCGTGCCTCCACCAACTATTCATATTTTTGTTTGTTTTACTGAACGAAAAGTAATATGATTTTAATACTTTTTGTTATATCTTATTGTTGAAGCTAAATTATCATTTTTTATTGATGCAAACACACAAAAAATGCATGACAAAAATGTATATCATTTTCAGTTAGCTTAACCAGTTTACACTAAAATGTATGTTACTAATTGATACCGATAAAATTAAAATAATAAACTAATCAATATTATTACTTTTCAAACAACAATTCTTCTTTTAAATATAATACCCTTAATTATTTAATACATTCATTTTACTCTCTCTATATAAGAATTACATAGGGGTAATTGTAAAAAAATGCAATTAATACTATCTTGAACTTTGCAAGTGACAATTAAAAAGAAACAAAAAATAATCAAGAAAGAGACACTAAAAAACAGAGAATATATATATATATATATATATATATATATATATATATATATATATATATATATATATATATATATATATATATATATATATATATATATATATATATATATATATATATATATATATATATATATATATATATATATATATATATATATATATATATATATATATATATATATATATATATATATATATATATATATATATATATATATATATATATATATATATATATATATATATATATATATATATATATATACACACACACACACACATAGGGGTAATTGTAAAAAAGTGCAATTAATACTATCTTGAACTTTGGCGAGTGACAATTAAAAAGAAACAAAAAATTATCAAGAAAGAGACACTAAAAAAACGGAGAGAGTGTGTGTCTATATATATATATATATATATATATATATATATCATAAAATACAGTTGTCATTGATAATATCATAAAATATATGATACAAATTATCTTATTATTCTTTTATATAAAATAAAAGACGATGATATTCAAAATATGTTTTTGTTTTGTTATTTTGAATTTATAAAAAATACAAACACAAATATAATTTTTATCTTTGAGAAAAAACAAAACAAACATAGAGAAAAAAGAGTAACACAATCATAACACAAAAACATAACGTGGAAACTCCAAAACCAGAGAAAAAATCACGATCTTTATCAATAGACAACTAGAGAATAACATTATGCGGAAATGGTTACATAATTGATAAACACAAAATAAGGTTAGTAGCAAGATGATTTATACAAAAGTCTGGGTTAGACTACTTTGAGGTGTTTGCTCATATAGTGAGACATGAGACAGTCATACTAATGATTGCGATACGGTAACTGCTAATAAGAATTGTCCTCTAATACATCTGGATGTGAAATCTGCCTTTCTGAATGGTCCATTCAATAAGAGTTATACATGTCACAACCTTCTGGATTTATGAGAAAGAATCAAGAATGGATGATGTACATGTTACGTAAAATGTTGTATGGATTGAAACAAGCTCCTAGAGCTTGGAATCTGAAATTTGATTAATTTTTCAAGCTTCAAGGATTCAGAAAGTGTGACATGGAGTATGGTGTCTAATCTGACCTAATCAGAAGGGGAACGATGACATACCACACATCGTTGATCTGTGAGTTGCTCACAAGGAATAAGGACGAGTAGGGGGGTGTACCTGCAAAACACTCTGATGGCAAGGTAAGTAATGGACCAGAGTGGAAGCAAATACAAAAGAGACGTTAAAAAGAGAATATCTGACTCTCTTGTGAAATAGGGTATTTATAGAGAGACCTCGGCGCAGGGCCAACGGTCACTTGTGTTGGGCTGGATTGTCAGGCCCAACCCAGGTGACTGCTAGGGCTTATGTGACGTAGTGAAGACCAGCACGTGGTCTTCGCCCTAGTTCAACCGTTCTTGATCTCCAGAAGGTGGGTTGACCATCTATTTTGGAGGTGGTTAGTTGGATGATGACGTATCCCCGCGGAAGGAAGTACGTGGAGAACGTGTGGAGGGCACGTTGTTTTACCCGACAGAGGAACTGTCCTGGTCAACGGGAGCACTTGTGCTCGACATCAGGGTAATTTGGGCCTGGTGGGCCTTCCCCAAATAGCGCGGGATTGGGCCTGCCCGTTCAGGCCTGGCCCCAATCCAGAATAGTGTCTATGTTTAGCATGCTTTTGAAGGCAATATGATTCTTGTATGTCTCTATGTTGATGAACAAAGAACTATTAAGATGAGATAGCTAAATTTAAGAAAGTGCTGATGAATGAGTTTGAGATGACTGATCTAGGAAATATGACATTTTTTTAGGGATGTAGATTATGTACTTTGAGAAATGTATAATTTTACATCAGCTGAAGTATGAACTTAAGCTTTTGAAGAGATTTGAGCTGCTGAATTGTAAGGTTGTTGTCACACCTTCAGAAACAAATCACAAATCGGATTCTGGTCCTGAGGGTGATGATGCAAATGCTACAACTTTTAAGCAGTTGGTTGGATCGCTGAGGTATTTGTGTAATACCAGACCTGATATTTGTTATCTAATTGAAATGGTTAATAGGTTCATGAGTAAACCGAAGTGGTATAATTACCAAGCTGTTGTCAGAATTCTGAGGTATATTAAATGGACTCTGAAGTATGAAGTTTTGTTCTCTTATGGTGAAAAGATTAATTCATAGCTGATGTGTTATTCAGACTCTGATTGTTGTGGAGACAGAGTTGACAGAAGAAGTACTTCTGAATATTTGTTTAAATATTTGGGAGGTCTTATTTCTTGGTCTTCCAATAAGCAACCAATTGTTGATTTGTTAAGCTGTTTGACTTTTGAATTTACTACAAAATCTGAAGATCAAGGTAAACAAGCATTTGAAGCAGATGATTGATAACAACTATGCAATCAATCTTGCCAAGAACCCAGTGCTGCATGAGAGAAGCAAACATATTGAGACTAAGTATCACTTTGTGAGAAGTCAGGTTCAAAATAAAGTATTAGAAATTATGCATTGTAACACCCAGAAGCAGCTGACAAATTTTCTGACGAAAGCGATCAAGACCGATCAATTTCTCCACTTGAGGGATGAAATTTATGTTGTTAGTTTTGATTAGCTAAATTTGAATTAAGTGATGATGTTGAAGAATAATTCAATTTTTTTAGTTGTTTCCACTTGTATTTAAACAAATGTAGTTTTCAATAGTGTATCTTTTATTCACTCTAACCGTTTATAAGAATACTAGAAATTTGTTATTCAATTCTCTCTCTTCTTCCATTTCCATCTTCTTTATCTTATACACCAACAATACCAATTATATTTCACTTGTGTATGATAATCACAACAATACTTAAATTTTATTTTATGTTTAATATCTTTGTCTGTTTTTGTTTTATATATATATATATATATATATATATATATATATATATATATATATATATATATATATATATATATATATATATATATATATATATATATATATATATATATATATATATATATATATATATATATATATATTAAGATTTTGATATAATCAACATTATCATTTTTTAATTTGTATATAAATGCACGTATTAATGACATGTATTGCTTCTTCTATGTACTAACATCTATTTAACCGTTTTTTATTAATGATATGAATTAATATTTTTATCATATCCTACTTCGAACATTTTCACATTTAAATGACTAAACTTAAAAAAGATAACCATTTGTTTCAATCATAAAATGAAAAGAAATTGAATCATTGCATTTACCAAAACTAAAAAAAGCAAATTTTTATTTATTTTTATAATCTTACTTTTAAAACAATTTTAAAGTTAAATAATATTACAAATTTATCGTTAATGAATTTTTTTGTTTGGTTTTTCCTTTTTCTTAATTTTAAAATAAAAAACCAAAAAAACAAAATTAATTAATTTTAAAAAATAGTTTTATAAAATTAAACTATCAAATTTTTTTTATCATTTTTAAATTTTTAAAAAAACTTGCATTTTCCATTCAAGAAAAGAAAGCAATGCATGAGATTTTGAATTTAACCAGATTCTGATACGTTTTGGAATTTAACCTAAATTCTTTATTTTTTCTTCTTTTTCTGGAGCATGGACGAGAATGATTGTGACGAAGAATCTGATAACACCGCCACAATGAGCACAATTTCTCAGCACAATTTCAGCGATAATTCGGAAACTATCTGCATCTCCATCGTTGAGGTACTCAATTTCCACTTCCCAAACTCCAATTTCGTCACCCTGAAATCTCAAACTAACAAACCTAATGCTGTTCTATGATTTCAAATTTTTATACAGAACATGAGGGAAGATTACGGCTTATACGTGTGGCCTTGCGCTGTAATTCTCGGCGAGTATGTTTGGCAGCAGAAGCAGCGATTTTCAGAAGCTAACGTTGTTGAGGTGAATTTTTTCTTCGAAATTCGTGATTATATGGAGTTTATTTTCTATGATTTCTTATCAATATTCGCGCAGCTTGGTGCTGGAACTTGCTTACCTGGTTTGGTTGCAGCAAAAGTTGGTGCCAGTGTCACTCTTACCGATGACTCCAGCAGATTGGAGGTATTACCCTTTCACTGTCATATTCTTTCTTCCTGTTTATATATTGATATGTTTTTTTGACTAAGGAGTGTTTGGAAAATTTTGGTTAGAGGTTGATTTAGTTTGTATAATCATTGCTATTTTGGATTAAAGGATATGCATGTTCATAATGTACTATTTATCTATTAATATTTTGGCAAATTTAGAAAATCGGATGGTCAATATGTCCACGGGTTTTAATAAGCTTTTAATTAAGGTGTATGTTTACCAAACTTGGCTTAAGTGTTGCCTTGAATCCGACTGTTATCTCGGTTTGCGAATGTGAGAATGGTTTTCAATTTTCATTAGTATTGTTTTTTTTATTTTTTATCAGTTTAGTTATTTAATGGTCGAATTCGGGAACTTGTTGATCTGTCAAATGACCGCGGCTTGTTCTGGACTTGCAGGTGCTTGACAACATGAGAAGAGTTTGTGACTTGAATAAACTTGAGTGCAATGTAAGCTATTATATATTAGAATAACACTGTGTATATATATCATGGAATTTCAGAAGGATGGTTATTATTATGCAATAACTGATCTTGAGGTTTTTATTTCTATCATGTTTGTAATGCATTGGCTTCTTTTGAAGGTGCTAGGACTGACGTGGGGAGTTTGGGATTCGTCCATATTTGATTTACGACCTACAATTATTCTAGGGGCTGATGTGTTGTATGACTCGAATGGTGAGAAAAGGGTCTGTTTCAGTTTTTCTTATCATCTGTGGATTTGATTTACCTAACCTAAGTATTGTTTCTTTTTCATTATTTAGCTTTTGACGACCTCTTTGCCACTGTGGCATTCTTGCTCCATAATTCACCTGGATCAACTTTTATAACTTCATATCACAATAGAAGGTACTTTTCATCCTCTCGGATGTTCAGAACTTGTGAAGCAATTTAGTCTTAACTCTATCCTATGCATCTTCTACAAATTTTAATATATTTTTTTAACTTAGCGAAGTAATAATTTGCAGTGGACATCACCTTATTGAGTTTTTGATGCAAAGATGGGGTTTGAAGTGTGTCAAGCTTCTTGATGGGTTTTCTATCCTGCCATCCTTCAAGGCTTCTCAGCTAAGTGGTAACATCCAATTGGTAGAGATGGCTCTAATGTCGAAAGATAATGCTTGAGGTACCTCAAAATTTTATCATTTTTTTAAGGAGTATTTGTAATTTTAGGCGATGCTGCAGCCATCTATGTTGTTCTTAATTCTTATTGTCGATGATCAAGCAATAGACTAGGACTTGATCATTTTAAAGGAATTCCTCTCAAAATTGATATCGCACTTCTCACATTTGATGAAGAAGAAACAAAATTCCTTTTTATTTCGAATTTTTGATGTTGCTTAAAATATGGAAACATGACAGCGATTAGCAAATAGTAAAATTTGGACGGGGCAATTGAGATGGCTCATACTAAGGAAATTCCAGCATTATTTATTTCAACTGCTTTAATTGTATTTGGGCTTGATTTGATTTACTCTTAAGAATAACTTGGAATTTTATCATACAGCAACTGAAAAGATGTTTACATGTAGTCAAATGGTTAAGCCTAAAACCCTTATGACTATTTTGAATTATTTTCAAATGTTGAGTTTTGCATTCTTATCTGTTATTTCAAATCATCCTTGGAGAAGCAGGGCTCATGTGGCTGATTGAAACATTTCTTGAATTATTTCTTAAGATTACTTAATAACTTATAACTTATAAGTATATTTCTAAATTGATTTGCCAAAACAAGCTTGAGCTTTTATTTTACTGATATAAGAATACATATTTCTTTATATATGAAAAAGCACAATATTCCTACCATCTTCAAAATGTGACCCACCACTTTTAATACAATAGCTTGACTGAAATACATAGATTAACTTGAACTAAATTAAGGTTTTCTAATTGATTTTTCTGCAGTCCTTTCTAACTTCCTGCCCACCGTTGATGCTACTCATTTTGATCATGGACTTTGCAAAAGCTTTGTAGAAAGCCTCTTGTGAGGCGGCAAACTTAGAAACCAAACGCTTGGTGTTTGGGCTGTTAAGTAAAGCCTGATCAGAAGAAAACAAGCCTTTTTGTTGGAGGATCAACTTGTAATATGTATTATCGAAAGTTGTTGAAGAAGGATCCATCGTGGCGCCAGCATTTTTTGCATTATTTTTCAACAGACAAGTTGATTTTAGTTTTGCTGCGAACGACGGATTTAATGAAGGGTCCACATGATGTGTAGCATTAAAGTTTTGGATTCTGTTCCGGAAAGATGAGCAGTGAGAGAAACCTAAGGTATGCCCTCCTACATATTGGTCAAAACACCTTACTGTTTAACTCCATTCAGATATAATATATTTTTTTCAAACTAAAAAAAATGATAGTCTCAGACATAAATATAAATTCGAAAACACAAAAAGTGGTGAAGTTTTGGTGGTTTATAACTTGAGGAATAGCTTACCTGACAGAGCTACCAAGTCTTCGGCTGACAATGCTCTTTGCGAGAAGCTTGTTTGCAGTTGTGATATATTGAATGTTGGTGCTGGTAACTGTCTTGTTTCACTGGCCTTAGATGTTCTTCCATCCTTTCTTCCTTTAGGAACATCCCATTTTGGTCCTCCAGACTGTAGAATATGATAGACTTACCATTAATTTAAACTTACAAATAGAAGTTCCCTTATGCGAAAAACAAGAACATAATGGAATCTCAATGAAGAGAACATTGTTCATGGCTTTGTTTTATTACCAGATAAACGGCGTCTCTTGCAGCGAGAGCAAGGATATCAGCACAAGAAACTACGCCAGGGCATTTAGCTTCTAATGCTTTCTTTGCATTATCAATAACATAGAATGCATGCAAGGAAATGTTTGGTGGTCCGTCCTTTTCTGCTTTGTTGTTTCCTTTCGAGTTTAGCAGCACAGAGGCGTCACATCCCTTCAAAAGTATAGATAGAAAATAAAGACTCATTCAAATGAATAATCGAACTGTATAAATGGCACGGGAAAAAAAAGAAAACAGAAAAAAACAATGTCAAGAAGAAAGAAGTTTGTTATAGCAATACCCGAACGAAGCAATCATGGAAGTGCATTCGCAGAAGTGCTGCTGGAACAGTTTTGTCCTTAGCAGTAGCATCCTTCACTGCCTTCAAAACAATAAACTCCAGATCATGGCATGTCTTTTCATAGTAGTTTAAGCTCAGTGATTTGCCTGTAGAAACAACTGAAAGCATGACAATTAAATTCAAGAATGTAGCCATGAAAGCCATGCTAACTAAGAGTACTTGATTATTGTTTAGATTTTAGATGTTGAAATCAAAGATGGGTTGAATGGGTTTTATAAGGGGGAAAAGAGAATAATCATTATTATTATGAGATAAAGTGACCCTAGAAGATTAGTTCGTTAACTAGTATTGTCAATGAAGTAGTAATGTTTAAGCATTCTCATTACAAAAAGACAATCTACTTTATTTGGTCAGTAAACCAAAGGAAGGTTCAATTGTTCTGATGTGCAATGTTATTTTTTTCTAGTTTGGGTGAAATTTGAAGGTGTAGAGCATGTTACTATCAATCAGAATAAATTAATTACACGGCTCATCAAATCTAGTGTTAAGCTATGATTGCATGGTCTTCATGAGTACGATTAAACTAATGAAAAGTCAAGCCCCATGATACATTTGTAAATGGTTCATCGATTATTACATATTTTTTGACACTGTCCATCCTAAAGTCAGGACTGAATGGTTTTACTTTACTCTAAATACTTTTTCTTTAAATTCTCCTCTTTCCCATGTTTACAGAAATCTATAATATTACCAATTTCATCTGCGATGCATGAGGAATGCTGAACTGGCGGATGATTAAATGCCTATAGGCTCTTAGAAATAAGTATATTTGAGAGTTATGAGAGCACTAGTAGTTATACGAGTGATAATATTTTCTTTCTTTTTTTTGATTAAATGACTATAGGCTTTTTCTTAGAAATAAGAATATTTGGGCGTTATGAGAGCACTAGTAGTTATGCGAGTGATAAGTATTCACATTTTTTTAATTGTTTTTTTCAAGAAATTCTCAGCAATTAATGGCAGTTTGCCTTCACATTGTTCGAAGCAGAGGTTTTAACAACTACAAACGTGTTGCGTCTTTCTAGATTTCGCCAAATGACTACTAGGGCCTTTGAGATTATACGTCGGCGATTGGATGCCAACCTTACCACAAGGTTATTCTTCCCCTTTTATGGTATTAAGACTGGTACGAAAGGCAAATCAGGTAACTCCGTGCGCCATGTCTGGGAGGATAATATTCAAGCCTCACTCTAAACATTTCAAAAATTGAAAAGATAGGTTTACGAGAGTCAGGGGGCAAGATGACACCTCCATGGTCACAACTGGGGAGGATGACACTCCTCAGAGTCCTTTGACTTGGACTGAAGACCCAATGTCGATCACTAAATTTAACTTCAACTACCTTTACCTCTATTGAGAAGGAGGTAGTTTATTTTTTGGATGAACTTGATGCTATGAGCTCCCTTATAATGATTGAATTTGATCAGGGAATGGACATTGAGATTGAGGAATACTTGCGTAAGTCTAAGCCTATAGTTATTCTCAGTTGTTGGGACTAATTACCCGACTGGTTATTTATAACTTTGTTTTTTCCATTTTTTTTTTGCAAAAATTTCATTCTAGTCTTTGAGAGGAAAGCTCGTCTGACCAGGAAAAAGGTGGAGCGCCAAGAGCTATGGACTAATAGTCAGAAAAGCCACAAGTGTGACCTCATCACAAAAGGAGGCAAGAGGGCGTCGAAGGGACAACCCTTACTGAGACTCGCCTTTCTAAAAGCTTAAAGCAAGATGAGAGTTCTTCTTCGGTCCCAAAGGACAATGCCATTGTAATCCTTAAAGAGGATGAAGATGACAAACAACACACTAGCTCACAAATTCAAGTTGACTCTCCGTAACACTCTTTGTTGTGGACTGATGCAATGCTCAATGCAATAAGATACATCGACACTCGACTCCTCTTCCATGAAGACTTTCCTAGTGACTACAAGGCAATTAGTCAAATGATGACTCAAAATATCCAGAATGATGGATAATCGTATGCTTAAAGGCATGTTGATGAAGCGATTGCTCAGTGAGAATAATGCCAAAACTCCAAGTGACCTAAAGTCTAGATATGTTATTGCCAAGGAATCTCGACCAAAGGGCAGGAAATAGTAAAAAAAAATTACCCTTGGAGTGCGATGAGAAGAAGTACTCAAAGGTGACACATAAAGGGGACATCAGAAAGGCAGTGTCTCAGGCCAAGCACATGCTCTTTTACAGAAAAGCTTGAAGGAACCTATTGAGTCTGCCATCCACTCTAAGGAAAAGCTGGAAGGAGAACTGTTCATCCTCAAGGAAGCATTGATGGATACTTTTGACCAGTATTTTGAGCGGGCAAAGGAATATATATCCCTTCTTTACCCTGGCTTGAACTTGAGTCAGATGGACTTATTCAAGGTAGTATGAGACTATAAAATAGTATGAAAAGGAAATGCCACTCTCCAAGGCGCCTGATCAATCTTTTGGTGAGGACGTTCAGGTCAAAACTGAGAACACCAAGGAAGGGGAAAACAAAACTCCCAAGGTGGGTGTTGTTTGCGAGGAAGTCGCTTCGGAAGAACGGCGACCCGAAAGGATGGCCAGTTAGCTCATAGTTCCGTCTTTGGCTCTCTCGTTGTTTTACTCTTGTGGATTTTTCTAACCATGCCTTTGGAGGCTTTATGTAATGATTAACTATGCCCTTAGGGGATTTTATCTGTAGTATTTCCCTTCAGAACTTCATTATTGACATTCTTGGCCTTAAGGCACCCCTTTTTGTCTTTGCACCGTTTTGCTTATTTGTATTGAGTAAATTGTTTTAGAACACTCTGAATAGGTTTTCAAACACTACATTTTCCCTTGGGGGTGGGAGGAAGGGGAAAGGGCTCCTTATTGAAGATTCTAAGTTCTGGTAGCCCATTGGGCGACAAGAATACCTCCACGAGGATCTAATATAAGTCATTGCCACTTGGAAACAAGGATTTCTCCACGAGGATATAACGTAAGTCATTGCCACTTAGGCGATAAGGATTTCTCCACGAGGATCCAACGTAAGTCATTGCCACTTAGGCAACATGGATTTCTCCACGAGGATCTAACATAAGTCATTACCACTTAGACGACAAGGATTCCTCCGAGAGGATCCAACATAAGTCATTGCCACTTGAGCGACAAGTATTGCTCCATGAGGATCCATCATAATTCATTGCCTCGTGGGTGACAAGGATTCTTCCACGAGGATCCAACGTAATTCATTGCTTTGTAGGCGAAAAAAATTCCTCCATGAAGATCTGTCATAAGCCATTGCCATTTGGGCAACAATGATTCCTCACGAGGATCCAACATAATTCATTGCCACTCGGGTGACTTGGTTAAAGTTCTAAAGTCCAGTCACCAAATCCTGCAAAATAAGAACAATAGTCTACAAAAATTCATAAAGAAACATGAGGTGCCTAATTAAATACCTTTGTGCCCACAGTGGAAAAGAATGCCACCCCATTAAATAAATGACACTTTAAAATAAATTATATAGTCGACATAGATGATATACTCCATGTTAACTAATTCAACTGATAACCTAACTAAACAAAGCACGACACTAAACCTAACAAAGTTAATGAAATCGTCACAATTTCTTCACCTGATACTTCCATGTTTCTCTTGAACAACACAACTAATTCTTCCTTTTCTAGAGGCATCCACTCCTTCTCTTAGAGATTCACTTTTGGCTTAATTAAGGTCAACAACATTCACTTCTTGCACATCAAGTTGTTGGGCATGTCCAGATGACATCTTCTGACAGTCTTCTGATCACCATCGATAACCCCAACATTGCTTATTAGGAAACAAGTACTTCATGCACATATATAGTGTAGATAGAACAAATCCCCAAAGGTTGAAAATAGCTCACCATATGATCATTTTATATAAGGAAGGGACATCTATGATGATATATCGTACCTTGATCATCCTTGCACTTTTCTGCACCCCATATATGGTATTCAGGGGGATGTAATCCTTTACTTGTACTTGTTCGCCCAATGAGCCTTTGAAAGCTTTGAGGTCTTTTAGATCCAAAAAATCTCTCGAAAGAATTCTAGTAGAGGATGCTAGTAGAATTCTCCTGATCAATTAACACTCTCTTAATCTCCCACTCACCACACCTCATGGTTATGCCTAAGGGGTCATTATCATGGGGATGGGTGCCAACAACGTCTTTCTTAGAGAATGTGATCCCAGATTCTAGAGCTTCCTTATTTCCCATATCAAGTCTGGAAAGTGAGCCTTCTACGGTCAAGACTTTGCGTGCATACCTTATACGAGAGGAGTTAGTCTCTTCACCATCGACAAACCCTTCTTTTATGGTATTAAGAATGTGACATAGAAGCTTATCTTCATTTCCTTTGCTAGGTTCCTTTCTTTCTTTTTATCTTAGGCTTCTAAAGGCATCTCACCCTTAAGATCTGAAGTTTCCTGATGACTAGGTAGAGCTGCCTCAGACATATTTTTGTAAGTGGTCCTTTTGGATAAGGCACTCAATCTCCTTCTTGAGCAGGTATCACTCTTCTGTGTGATGGTCTTGGCCTTATGAATTTTTTTCCACCTCCTGGGTTCAGGTCCTATGATGTATCACTTAGGGACTGACAAAGAGGAACATCACGCGTAAGGGTGGAAAAACGGGCCAGGCTCTCCAACCATGCCCCTTTTGCCTGCATTTTTTTGTGTGGGGTGGGCCAAGGTTAGACTCACATCCTCTAATATGTCTGTCACGTTTCTTTGCGAAGTTTTACACGCGTGGGCATAAACATAATTTTTGAAAATTTTAAGCGTTAAAAATGCAATGCTCGTGGCCCACCGACATTCTTTTGCGGGGCGAGCCAAGATTTTAGGTCAGTGCCATCAATAATGCCCGCCCTTCCCTGTCTGCTCTGGTTTTTGTAGGCTTTTACGGGGCAAAGTCTAAATGGGACGGACATGCCCATTTTCCATCCTAATCTCTCCACCACAAGTGTTCAAGGGAGTGATGTTCTCTATAGGCCTCCCGTTCTGTTTGAATGCCTCCTTATTCCTAATATGCAAGGTGTAATGGTTCTCGCGTGCCTGCTGCGTGGAATTAAGAGTTATAGATGTCAACAATTTGAAATCCCTAAAATTCTTTTCTATGTTGTTATCTTCCCCCTTTAT